GACAAAAACTATGTTTTCTACAATAATTTTGGCGTTTTCACATCAGGGGCGAATTGTCTAGAAATTGGTGGCTAATTGCCCGGAGCGAATTGTCTGAGGGGCGAATTTTTTGACACTTTTTTTATTTAATTATGACAGGGGATTTTAACAAATCCGTGTCATTCCACATCTGGCAAGTATGGTTTCGTGTGTCTGGCGATTAATTAGTTTAGGCGCTGCATTTAGCTTTTAAGAGCTTATCATTATAAAAAGCTCAAAGCTGGAAAATATTAATTCAGCACACCTCCCGTTGACAAAAAACGTACAAGGAAAGCATAACAATTTTTTTCACAGACAACAGACGCAGCCATGTTGGAAAAATATTTATATATTTACGTAATGTGTTGTTTTAAATTTTACTTTTTCCGTTTCTTTCTCTTTTGAAAATCGTTGATGTGGAAACTGTTTGCTTAATGACGACAAACTTTCATCACGATCCATAAACAAGAAAAAGACACTAGCCGTAGCCTCGCCAAGAACAACACGGCGAGATGATAATGAACGAGAGAAAGACAGTAAAGGACTTACCACTTTGAAAGATTTCGAAGTTCATAACAAATAGCACTTCACCTATTTGTTTAACAATAAAATCAGTCCATAACAACAGTAATGTCAATTGAATGATTTCACAATTTACTGAACCTGTGCGCACTCTCGAAGGAGCAGCGATGTTACGCGTGAAAAGTCGTGCGGTCTGCGGAAAACACCGACTACAATAATATTAATGAATGAGTGTCCATTTATCAGAGTTACTGTTACTAAGCCACCGTTCGCTGAAGGGAATTAATCTTCCTGATATCGCATCGACATCTTCGATACTATCGGTTCACGCTATATTGATGATACACAGTTTTGCACTTAGAATTAAAGACAAAGCGCGGATGTGACAAGTTTTAATTATTATTGCCTGGTGTGAAAGTCCCTTGTTGCGCCTTTACAAACGATTTTGCTCATGATACTTTCTATCGTTAGGTTACTTACCTCACACGGCTATTCTTGATCGAATCTGCGGCGATGAAATTACAATCTTAGATTACTGTACATGTACGAGACTCTTCTCAAGCTGAACAGAGTGGGAACTCCAAAACAGTGACAATCTTCGGACAAGAAAATGGGTTTGAAGTAATCAACTCACACCAAATCGAAGTCTACTATTCAATTGAAGTAACAAACGGGAAGTGAGGATTATATTAGGCTAGAAGATCAAGCAGACTTCCAAAATTTCTTGTTAACAGCAAGTGTCCAACATGAAATATAATCGTGTTCCGAAATTGCACTGATTCATGGGAACAAAACTCTGTTGTAACCCTTTCCTGTTAAGGCCAGTCTGTTTCAATCGTGGTGAACATAGGTGATTGTGAAAAAAGGCGTCGCATTCTTTGTGCCAATTACACTGTTCGATCACCGCGTAAATTCATACCTTGATTCTATGAGAGGTTTTCTGTTCATTTCACCGGCTCAAAGTAGTAATCATTGAATTTGCTTTTGAAAGGCATTTACGATATTGACCCAGTTTGTGTAAAATTTTGTTTTATACATTCGAGATTTGCGGTATCTTAGACGATAGCGCGCGGCCAGAACCTCGTCTTCGATAAAAACGTATCTTTAGTTGTTGGGTTGACACAAGTTTAATTTCATTTAGTTTCTGTGAACTAGAGGAATATCACAAGACAACTCAAGGGCAGAAGTAGTTGTGCACTACTAAGACAAAGGAAAGTCAAATTTTTAGCGAAAGTGGATAAAAATCCTTTCCTCATTTAAAGATTCAGTGGTTGAGTCCATGCTCCACATACCTGGTAAAACCAACAAGGAGAAAACAAATAGCTGTTTTTCATCTTGTCGGTGCGACATTATTCAAACTGATTGGGGCCCGGATAATTCTTTTGCCGTTTCTTTCCTTTCTTCCTTTTTTCCGTTTATTTCCCACTCCTCCCTTTATTTCCCACTCCTCCCTTTCCTTTCTCTTCCTTTTCTTTCTCCTACTTTCTTTCCTTCGCCTTTTATTTTTTCTGTTCAGTTACTTTTTCTTCCCCCTTTAATTTTTTTCTTTTCGATTTTTTCCTTCTTTCTTAGTTTTTTTTTTTTCATTTCCTTTTTTTCCGCTAAAATGGAACTCAGGGGTTTGTTAAGTGAAGAACAAAGGGGGGAGGGGATGGGGGAGGAGTTAAGCGGGGAGGGCCTGGTTAATAAATATGCGTTATTGACCAAGCGTGAGGTCAAGACGGCTGGATATTGGCCAAGTTCTCTTCTTTTTAAGTTTTTAAGGACAGAGACAAAGTTGAGGTCGATAAAAATGCAAAAGAGAACAACGCTAATATCCAGCCATCTTGACTGAACAAGTCTGGTCAATAAGGGACTTATCATACATGCAGCCAAAAGATTTAGCTTTATTCAGAATCACGAATGTCTTTCATGTTTTTTTTTTTTTGACTTTCATCTGCCGTTTTTGGCGTCTTCATCACCGACATTGTCCGAGAATAATGAACTTTGTAAGTCCGCTCGGCAACTCCGTTCTGTCAAGATGGGTCCATCTTTGCCGCTCGGGTAGCCAATCAAGACTCGCTATATATATTGCCCACGGGCGCTGCCAGCGATATCATAATGTTTATTCCTGATCAGCTTTTCGACACCGCAGTATTTTCAGAAATTCCTTCCTCATTGATCTATTCATGGCGCCATATATCAAAGGATTAATCCACGCACTAGCATAGGCGAACATCGAAGGCACAGACAGAGCCGGCTGATTAACCCACCGAACTAATATTTCAAAGACACTTAAGGGAAGCCAGCACACGCAAAAGCCAATTACTGAAGCAAAAAGAATTCTGCAGGTGCGGAATTCTTCTGCGCGAGTGGTGGTCGCATTATTCTGTCGTAATGAGGGTATAACAGCAATATTATGGTGCCTTACAACTAAGAAAACTTTTCCGTAACAATATACGATAAGAAAAATCGGTAACATCAAGTAAAGACTCCACAGAAAGAACCAAATAATAGATGAATGATCCGGCCAAAAAGCCATACAGTACAAAAACTGAGGCTGCCATATGAAAACAACATAGGCTGTAGGAATCGAAATGACGCCTGTTACGAGCGTAAAAACAAGTACGAACAAAGTTGAGAATGCAGCTTTCTTTTTGGTATAGAGCTGAGGATAGCGCTGAGGTTTCACAACACAGATGTACCGGTTGAGGGCTGTTAATGAAAGAATGTAGAGTGATACACCGGCCCAAAGATATATGATAAACCCCTGAAACTGCGCAAAATTGTATCCGAACGGCCACTCTCGCAAACATGAAGCAGCGATTGAAAAAGGAATCACAGTTACTGACACAGTAATATCCCAAAGTGACAAAGCGACTATGTAGATGTTGGTTACTGCCAGTGATCTTCTCTTCCGATAAGCGGCCAAACAGACCAATGTATTTCCAACGATGGCCATAAATGAGTAGAAAACTAAAACAGTTGTTGTTACCACCGCCGTAACAGCGCTTCTCGAATCAACTTCAGTTGGCTTCATGTTACAAGTCGTAGATCCTCAATCCAAAAAAATATTATCACACTTTCAAAATTTCAAACTTAGGTTCTTGAATGCCAAGTAATAATTGTAAACTGGGAGAGCCAACTTGTTAGTAGCTTTGCTTCGATTCTCACATCAGGACTACAAAAATCAGTTTAACTTTAAAAATGAAACAAGGCCTCTCACTGTCGGAGCAATTCTAAAATTTAAATTTCATTGTCTTGCAAGCGAAAGTGAGCTCTTGCCATGCTCTTACTGGCAAAGTTAAAATAAAGGGAAAAAAAATTTTAAGGGATAAGACCCCCTCGCTATCTAATTTTTCCTTTTTAATAACATTCGAGATAAATCTGTAATAACAACAGACAGCAAATCTCAGCGTAGGTCAACACCTATAAGCCGATATTTTGTAAAAAAATAGGAATCATTATACGAGGCAATAGAATCCAAAACATATCGAATTGTTTCCTTGATATGATGACTACAACTTTTAATTAGAAGTTTCTAATGTTTCGTCTACTCATTACAAAGAAATACCAGGTGACAGCTACCCGTCACATTACGAGTAGTACCTCCTTTTCGGCGAAGACCATCACGCGAGTTTGATCATCGATTTTTAACATCGACTCATCTAATTCTCATCTAACATCAATTTTTTTTCACATTTTTTTTGTAATTCGCGCGACGGACTTTGCCAAAAAGGAGGGACTGCTTGTAGTCTAGCTTCTGATAAGCTCGTATAGTGAATGTTCGCCCTTGCTCGTTGTAAGAGCTTGAGGAGAAAATGACTACGGAAGGCGGGAACACTTTTGTTGCGAAGAAAAGTTCTTGTTATTTCTTCGTCATGCAGTAAAACAATTGTTTTCAATTATTAAAATTGCGTTCACCAAGAGAGGTCAATAACATTGACCGTGCACGTGCTTGCCATATGTTTGATACATGTGGGCACAAATAAGAAATAGCACAGAGGGTAATTGGGTTCTTGAGATATTGAGACTAGCGTCATAGTTTGTATTGTCTCGTTAAGAAATGCTCTGAACAGGAGATTAGGTTTAGCCGTTATATTAGGAATATTTAACTCTGTGAATATTGTTAACCTCAGTTCTCTCTGTGTGGTACCCAGTTTAGGAGGCTGGAGGTTCGGCTCAGGTTCTGGCTCTAATTGTGCTTCAATTTTTTTTGTTTCAGCGAGGATGGCTTATTTGAACTCTTAGTGGGGAGGGGGAATGAGGTTTGTCGGATCTTTTTGATTGTGTCACACTAAAATTAGGGCAATAGAAATTGGCCTTTCGCGACCCCCTCATCTACAGTACATTCTAACACTAAATCAAACATGACCGGTCGACTAAACGATCGCGAAGTTATAACGTTAACTCGCCCTTATCAGACGCCTGCACTGAAGGCCTCCTCCAAGTCTGACGACGATAAAGTCCATCAGTTTGCGTGTTATTAAAATGCACTTTATTGTCAAGTATCTTTAAAAGTTCTTTAACTCCATTTCAGAAAAAATAAATGCATTCCACAAGAATTACATCCTAAGTCGCAAAAGAAATGCTTGACAAACCTGCAAGCCACAAAAAGGTGCCTTTAGGACGCATGAGGAGGAACAAATGGAAATGACGTAACAGTTAACAATCATTCACAAATGGAGGTCAATAGTACTTGCTAATCACTTCCGAACCGGCCAATCAGCGTGCGTTAAAAGCACTATTCACCTGAGTGGTATATAAAAATTATTGATATGCCATAAATTCATCACATCCACTCTCGAAACAAGAGGCCCACGGAAGAACGGAAGAACTGCAGAAAATATTTTAAACCTAACTCTTACTTACCAAGTTGTGAGGCATCATTCACGGCCCAGGATATGCAGTAATGGGAGAGAAGTTGATGTAAAAGATCCACTTCATCAAGGAATTCTATTCTCTCTATTCTGTAGAGCAACACACACGTTGAACGATTGAGTAAAAGTAATTAAAGGCAATTAACCATCGCTCCGCGAAATCCGATTTTTAGTCTTAGCTATTTACTCACACAAAGCTTGTTACTTTGCCGATCCTAACAGGATAAATGACGAGTGTCACACATGAAGATGGTGCTGGCCTTACTCACCAACGGGTTCTCTGTAGCTCACTGGTAGAGCATCAAAGCACAAACATCCGAACGTCCGGCGATCACATCGATCATATCATATCATTTATTATATATCACATCGTAGGGGTCTTTAAGGTTCTCTTTGTTCTACGCTCGCACCAAATACATGGCATCCTCAGTCAATGGACAATATTACTGTCGAGCTGGGTCAAGCTTATAAGCAACGCTTACATTTAGGCATCCCTTACAAAAGAACTGAATAGATGAATCAATCAATCAATCCACACACTTAGGTTGTAGCATCTATACGGAAAGGTTTCTCCATCTACTGATTCCAGAACGAAGGGGGTTATAATTAAAATTTGGCGAGTTTTATTTTTTTAAAACAGAGTGAAGAAAAGCAGAACAAGGGAGAAAACGAGCTCGATGCACGCGCAGCGAAGCCCAATACTTATCAAAATAGTAGTAATCCTTAGGTGTAATGACGAGTCTAGGTATCAAACTCGGGAGCACAGTTGTAGGAGGAAAGTGCTGTCCTAACAGAGCCAGCACTGTTCCTACATAAAAAAAGCTATTTCATCAGACTTGAAGGTTCTACACACCTTGCTCTGTCGTCAATAGGCAAGCTGTTGTAAATACTCATCATGTCTAGGACTTCAGCTTCATCCCAGTTGTTCGACAGAAATCTTTGTTTCTGTTTAGGGAAATGTTCAATGTATTGTCATGCAAAGTTGCCATAAATTCGACAGATCACCTAAAAGCGGCATCCAATTCATTGTAGAGTCAATAAAGTTAACTCAGAAGGCAAAGTAACTCACATGAGATTCGAGGTCAGGACAGGCATTTGCTCCCAGAAGCTCACAATTTCTACCCTGAAAAGACAAACATATTCACATTTTCGCTTAATTATCCCATCCGACCATTTATAACTTGACCCTCGAGTCACCGAAAAACAGTGTAAAAAAGTTATGCGCAGTTATAACAAAATAACGGCCATCTATACAGTATTAATTTAGCCCACGATTCTAATAAATACAGATTTTCTTTACCCTAAGATTCTGGATCATAATTTGACCAAATCTGTCCTGCATATTCACCTATAAGTAAATCAAATCAAAACAGTCACATCAGTTAAATCTCATACAGGCGACCTAACAACCACCAGAGTTCATCCCAGTTTCCATGGCAATAGAACACTAGAAGTATTGGTGCTTCTTCTAAATGGGACACCGGTCCATTGCAGGGTACCCTCTTCCTAAAGTGTAAAGTGTAGTATTTTGCTTATGAAGACAACGTAACGACGCTGACCAAGCCTTACACCCGGACCTATCGAACAGGAAACCAACGTGTTAACCTTTTAAGGTCATAATGACCATGAAAGGTCAAAATAATGAAAGTACTTGTCCACATACTGTAACTTGAAGCTGTGCCTTCTCAGGGCTCTTTACTCTAATTGCAAATAAATAAATAAATAAATACACAAATAAATCTGTCATGGACAAAATCCTTTAACGATCCCTTGAGTGCCAACCTTTACTTTTTTCCTTTTGTTTCACTGAGACTCTAAACTACACTTACTTGTTCATAGTTTATAAATACAGCATTTTTAAAATTGGTTCCAGCCCAATTAATAATGGCTGCTGAATGTTCGGGTTCCATATAAATCAGGACACATTCTGTGATAAAAACTGTTGGAAGGCTGCAGAAGAACAGTGGACAAACATACTAGGATTTATCATGAACATTTTCAGATGAGAATATCAACATTGCTGCTGATCACCACACACATAAGGAGCCGACGTCAAATCTAAATTTCTCGCTCAACCCCCTATATGAGGTGCATCAGAGGTTCTTTGCTGCTGCTTACAAGAGGGTCTGAATGGCTTTCACGTTAAAAAAGAAAAACAGCCGTCAGGCGTAAAATTGACAAATTTACTTAGTTAACCGTTAAAATGTTACTTTTATTTGAAACTCAAATAAATCAACTCTTAGTTGTAAATGGCCAAAATTCTAACCGTAAGCCGTAAAAGCTGTCGTCACATTTAGACCCTTCTACAAGAATACGGCGTACACACCGTTTCCAAATCGGCCACGACGCACTGATGGCATTAAGTGCAGCTTAAACACGCAATAGAACCAGCCATACGAGACAGTATAGAAAAGCTTCACAGAAGCAAGAAAAACCTGACTCAAGGTAGCTATTTCAAAACTGCACTTTCTATGTTTCGTAAGAAAAATTATGTCTTTAGCATGCTTACCTTTTATCGATTCCTATTTCTTTTAGTTTTCTCTCTAATGTATCAACTTCTCTCAGATCCACAGCTAGGAGATGGTAGTGTTTAGAATGTGCTTCACTCCCTTCTGCAATTTAAGTAATGGTACCAACAAACAGTAAGAAAATTGTTGATGTGAATTACATTCGTTACAAAAAGGTCAACCTGGGCTAAGTTCTCCTCCTCTAGCACATGATAACAACGGTCGTGATCGATTCAGAGAAAAGGCGTTTTGAATAGCTTGGAGATGCTAAACATCGACATCTTTCCATGTATTAACATTTCATTTCGCTTAATTTAATGTTAGACTAAGATGCGTTAAAAATGTCATTATTCAGTACTTTATTCGTTATTGCCATACATTTTCTTACAATTCTTTCAAATGTACAACATGCCAACTCACTTATAGAGTGGTTTGCCAGTGGTTAAGGTTAGTTTCAATCTACTACTCGATAAGGACACATGTTCATGTCACACAAATCCTAGGAGCATTAACCTCTGGGGCTTTGGGGGGTTTTTCCGAGGGATCAACGTAAATAAAAGCAATGTCACATTTTCCATAGTTGTGATTGGTAGATGTGATTACCTTGTTCTTATGACAATCACTCGCTCAAATGTTTGCGTGAAAACCGAATACGTAGCTCGATGAAATTAGTTTCACGATAGTGTCATATATATATCTGTACTTCGTGAAAACACTTGACATACCAAGACAAGACCTACCAATTTTTAATCCGTCGTCTGGAGAAAATGCTTCTTGGAGTTTTCTTCTATTCCTTAAGAGAAGAAAACTACACAGCTAAGAATTATAAGCACATTAGAGCAATTCCACATCAAACGTGATTATTAAGAATCTAAAGAAGATAATTTCAAGGGAAAGGCATTGCATTATTATTAGAATTTTTCTTCGCCTTTCACTTTTTACAAAAAGATACTTCAAAGATTAAAAATTACTCAATAGTGGAGTGCAAGAAGACATGCTGTTGAAGCGAGCGCAGCCGAAAGCTGTCCGTATTATGTCGATAGAGTGTGAGCCGACGCGTTTTTGGTATCGGAGGTACGTCGTTAATACGTAGGTAGAGTTTTTACAAATACACTATTTGTGGGTGAGTACGAAGGGTGTCGGTAATTAGTCAGTAGGATGTAAGCCAACGCGTTGTAGTTGTTGGTAATAGGTCGGTAGTGTCGGCCAATGCGCTTCCAGTGCGAGTAAATCCGAAGGGTTTCGGAAATAAGTCGGTAAGGTGTCAGCCGACGCGTTGTTGCCGTTGGAAGTGTGTTGTCGAAACGTCAGTAGAGTGCGGCCGCCGCTATTTTGACGTCGGTAATACTTCGGTAATGTGTCGGCCGACACATTGTTGGTCTCCAAAATCAATGCAAAGTAAATGCAGAGGTACTCAGCCGATGCGTTCATTGAACCAAATTCTTTAATTTTCCACAAAGTTAACATAATTTAATACTCTGACACAAATACTAGCCTTAAACCAAAATAAGGAAACCTACGGTATTTGATCACTGGTTCGTATTCAAACTTGCCTTATATTGTAGCACTTTCTACCAGTCACACTTGCAAAATCTACTTCAACAAACAGCTTGGGTGCTAAACTTTCTTCCTTTAAGAAATCCAAATCATTCACATTACCATAAACACTACCTCAATTAACAATAGGTATTGCAGTGGAGTAATAAAACTAATTGCGATTGTGGTGATACAATTTACACTAGTGTTCATTATCAAGTAGTCTAGACTGTTGTATCAAGTGGTTCTTAACAGAAAAATGATACAGAGCTCTCCAAATTCCCGGCCAATCGATCAAACATTTTAAACCAAATTCGAGTCGGAGGCGCCCAGGCAGGAGAAAAAAAAATCAAAGATCGAATCTATGTGATGCGCGCCATGGTTTAAGCGGTAATATGCTAAACGTATTATGTGGGCTGACTTTGTTAACTTGTTTAGCTACCCCATGTTGTGTGCAACAAACATGACGTTGAACGAAAATGTTTGATCGTCTAGGTGGGACTCTGAGGTCCCCTCCATTGGGTTGATGTAATATTTTGAGACTTGGCAAATATATATGTTTGACTGTAAAAAAAAAAAATGTAATCATAAAGGTAAGGATTGAAAGGGAAAAAATTAGCAAAAAACAATAACAAACAACAAATTATCTTTCATTTAATTTATAATTTCCAACGATCACTTTCAAAACTATATCAAGCTCCCACCTGTTAAGGTAACAACTCCTTTTGGCAACAATAGAAACTTCAAAGCTGTTCAGTAGTCTGACTACTGACATGTACATTTAGAGTTCACTTTCAATTAACTAATTAACATTCTAATGATCCTTGAGCCTCAACCTCAACCAAAATTTTCATATCTACATGTCCACCTTTCTCAACTGTTGGCCTAGCTACTCACGCGAAAATTTTTGTCTTGAGAAATTTCAGCTTGGTTATAGATCTTAAGGGAAGTTTCAGCTCTGATACCTGGATGAACATTGCACTACTTTCATCCAAGTTTAATGACTTGCGTAAGCAGATTAGGAGATTGATGGAGGAAGCAGCCAGAGTAGGCCTTAAACTTAATGCAAGAAAGTGCAGAACACTGAGAACTGAGTTTACTAGGAACAGGGAGAGCATTGTGGTGAATGGTGAAGAAGTGGAAGATGCTGAGGAGTTTGTGTATCTTGGAGCTATTGCAGACAAGGAAGGCAGAGGCAGTAAAGATATTAGGAACAGACTGCAGAAGGCAAGAGGTGCATGTTAGAGGCTATGGAAGGTGTGGGCAGCCAGAGGAATTGGAAGGAGAACCAAGATATGCCTATTCAAAACTTTAGTCCAACTGGTCCTGCCATATGGTCGTGAAATATGGAAGATCACAAAAACAGATGGAAGAAAACTGAACAGTTTCCAATGCCAATGCCTGAAACAGATACTCAGGATTGGATGACAGCAAAGAATAGTAAACAATAGAGTAGACGAAATAGCAGAGATCAATGAAATTAGCTGTGAGGTGTGAAGAAGGTGGAACTGGTTAAGACAAGTACCCAGGAGAGAGGTTCAAATATGATTTTTTTCCTCTGATTACTGAGATCTCTGTTGACAACACTGCCTCCCCCTTAATGAAAGAACCAAATCTTGCACTAGAACTCACCTTTAAAAGCCAAAAGAGGGAATCGAATCCTGCCCCAAGATTAACAACCTGACAATTGCATTCTGTTTTAGCAAGAAACTGGTCCAGCAGAGTATGCATACCTTTAACACGAGCATAGTAACCTGCAGAGAGGCAATGAACTCCATTTAATAAAAAACAATTGATAAGGTTAATCATTTGGAAAATAAATTTCACTTCATCACCTTATCATAGAAACTACAAACAAACTTGCAGTTTTGTTCAAAGATGGCAGAGATGAATTCTATCCAATAAACTCAAATTTCTCATCCAAGCAGTAAATGAAAGCAGATTTCTGGACAAAATGTTTTTAAAAAAGGTAATATCTTCATGAACCTTCATATATTTCTTTTTTTGAACCAAGACCTGCCTTAAGTTTGTAACTGGGGGCTTTGCATGTGCTTTGAAGTGCCAAGCAGTGGAGCCATGCAAAAAGAGCAGAGAAGCCTTGAGAGTCATGCAACAGAAAATAGCACTAGTTTTGCTGTTTAATGCTTTGGAGCACACACCAAACAAAAAGCAGCACAGGCCACAACATGAAGCAAGTAGCAGAATTGCTTTTCCACCTTGAAGGAGGAAAAGCCTAGAGCATGTCTTCAAGTTCCCTTAACATCCCATCAGTGTCCATTTATAACCCTAGGTGGAAAGAGGTATGGTGAGGGTTAATGGCAAGTATTTTACTTAACAACACAACACATAGACCTTAGCCAGGGTTATAACATGAACCACTAAACTGCCTGTCTAACCATAAAGTTACCTCTGTTTATTTCTGGAGTCTTTCTCTCTCCTAGTTTGGCAAAGTGTTGAATGTAACCGTCTGACCAGTAACCTAATTGAACAGCAAACCTAAATCACAACAAACAAGCAAGGGTGAAATTTTTAGCAACTCCATAAAGAAATAAAATAATTATCAATCAAAGGAATTTTTTATCTAGAACTTGCACCAAAAATGAGCAAGCTTCTGAAGGACATCAAATGATAACTCCATGGTAACTTTATAGGAGGCTGTCCTCTGAGCATGGGGGTGAGGGGGAAGGAATGAAGGTAGGGGTCATGCAGGAAAGGAGGTGACACCTATGGCACCTGCAGAACTGCTAGCTAATTACGCACACTTCGGAAGAAACAAAGACACAATTTCCTCATGTTTGAGTATTTGCTCCTCAATCATCCCAGCCAAAACACTTTATGAAAGCTTTACTCAATAGTATGAGGATGGCTTCACTTTCCATTGTTTACCTTAAGAATTTTAAACATAAACCCGTGGTTGTTCAAAGTGGTCATGAGTTGCTGACTTTGCATCTCAGTCTGAAGACAGGCGGAGAAAATACGTGTCCAAAAGTCTCAGCCTCTTTTTCAGTGACTATCTTAATGTGTATTATGGGGAGAGCGGTAAAGTTTCCGCACAGCCCCATACTATTGTAAAACAAATCTGTTTTCCTAATGGCAATGTATTGTTTTTGGCACTGTTTTCTCTATCCAAGAACTGAATGCATCATGTGGTATGGGGTTGTGCGGAAATTTTACCGGGAGAGCTAACGGTTTAGCGATGACACAAACCGAAATAACAAAGCCGATCAAAGCAGAGGAAACGATCGTATGATGGCCCCCTTCCTTCGATTAGGGCCACTGATTGTAAGAATCAGAAGCCTCAATAAACTATTCATTCAACTCGTCCCGTTAACTACAGAACTCCCACGGGCCGTCAGCTGAATTATAAGCTTAGGTTTCATATCAGGAAAGGGTGACTAAGCTTCCTGTTGAGGAGCCTTCCTTTTCCTCCTGATTATATACAACGAATTGAAAAACTGTTTTTTCTACCTCTTACAGGCCGTAGCATCGTCATTTGTGGAAATCACAGCCTCATCCTGTGACATTCTTCACTCGCGCAAACATTTAGTTGCTAAGCCGGATAGCTCCACTTATTTCAGACAGGCCGCCATGTTTAATTGCGTTGCGAATTGCATTATGGGCCATCCCTTCTGTTTCGTAAAAAAGAAAAAGGAGAAAGAAGGAAAGAAAAACATGGGAAGAAAATCGACGACATTCATTCCGAAGTTGAAGAAAAAAAAAAAAAAAAAAAAAATTCAGAACATTTCAATATCCCTTGATCTTCCCTTTTTCATTCCATTTCTCATTTTAATACCTGACCAAAACAAATTTTGGCCAAATCTCAACCTATAATTAGTAAGCAGTCATTAAATTTATGGCCTGAGGGTGGGAACAAGGGGTTTTTTTAGGGGGGATCACGTAGTTCCCAGGGGGGAACAGAGAGGGAATCGATCACTCCTTGTCAAGAGAGTTTAAAAGGGGGAATTTGGAACATTGACTGTTAATTAACTGCAAATGAGGCGGGGATTATAATAGAGAGCCTTATGGGGGGATCAGGTAATTTCAAACAGGCTGCCATGTTTATTAGCGTTGCGAATTGCATTAAAAAAAAAAACAAACAAAAAACATGAGAAGAAGAAAATCCCTAACCCAGGGTTAAAATTCAATCCAAGCTTCTTTATTTCTCTGTTCAAAAACCTTTTGAAGAAAATTTTTCCTTTTCTTTTCAGAACGTCCAATCATCACGTTGATCATTAAAAAGATTTAAGCTGAATTTTCTTTTAAAGGTTTCAGATCAGAAATCAAATTTCACACAAACCCTGTATTATCATAACTCAGCTTTGAATAACCCGGCCCTGGTCTTCCTTTTCTCATTCCGTTTCTCATTTTAATATTTGACTAACAAATTTTGGCCAAATTTAACGTATGATTAGGTAACAATCCTGGGGTGGGGGCAAGGATTTTGGAGGGTTCAGGCACATTTCATCGTGCCACAACCAAAACCCACCAACCCCCACACCCAAATGATAAATAACGAATTGTCCCTTGGAAGGGGTTACATTGCTACATGCAAAAGGGCGAATTATTCAGTTGGTTCCTTTGGTTTTTTCTCCCTAAAAATCAGGCAAGAGTGGGGCTGGAGATAGAGAAGTCAGCGACATACTGAGACACACGACTCATATCAATCTTTTTATTTGATCTGGATGAGATACTTTGCACAATCTTTTTAGTGGTGAAATGAACAAGCCAGGGACCCTTTTACGTTCATTGGCGTAAACAAAATTAACTACAAAAGTCTGTGGTGATGGTAATAAGAGATTACAGGCACTAAACAATAGCCTTATTTTTTCTCTTAAAATTCTTGACAGAACAACATCACAAGCCTCTGCAGAATAAACCATTAAGTTGGATGTAGTTATAGCATAAGGCCTGGGAATAGTAACATTTGTTTTCTGTTGAAAATTTGAAAATATAAAGTATGGCCAACTAAATTTCGAGTTAAGAAGGTTGCAGGCTTTAAGATGGCAACAATAATTTAAGTTGTAAAATGAAAGATTCTTTTTTCAAGGTAATACTAACCTGGATGGAATTAATTTTTTTCCTACTGAAAATATAGCATAAGTGTTTAGTGATAGTCCTTCTTACATTATAAACCACTGTTTTGAGATAAACCTCACAAGTCAGGCTGACTTGACATAGTACCAAAAAACTGTGCTTGGAAATGTTTACCTTGAATTTTTCAATCCATTTTCAAGGCTAAGGTCACTTGGATTACTTAAACTTAGTCTGTAACACACTTATCAGGTTTATATGTTGCTCACCACAATAAGCAGACAAAATAACACTCGCAATGGCATCATCTGGTAACCAGACAAGACATTTTTTTTTCTTACAAATGATAGAATAACAGGAATTATAGTAACTGTCTTGTAATCATGTTTAAGAAATTATCTTATAGTGAGGGATGTCCATGTGAAACAAGCAAGGAGCTTGAAACTCAATTAAAGGAGATCTGCCTAAATGTGATATTAAATGAGCATGCTTGAAGTCTAATCAAGCAATTCCACATTAATGGCAGCCTGGAATAAAGCAGGTTAAGAATCTTGAACAACTGTTGAGAGAGAGGAATGCTGAAGACTCCATACTTAATACAATGGATGTCTTCCAATCAACTAAAAGTTACATACCTTATTGGCTAAAAATAATGTGTTTTATGTGGAGTGCATGAGGTAGAGCCTTGAGTGACTTTTGATAAAAATCTACTTCTCCCTATGTTTCACAAAGGATCACAAGACAACTTGGCATGAGAATATAGCAGTCTATCAGAAGTCACTTGTGCCCTTTGTCCATGCACCCCTTCATTTATCTCAAAAACTTTTGTAATCAAATCAAAAATTGATGAATTTTTTAAGGCCTAACAAGTGTCCAAGCTCATTTCACATGGCAGGTCCCCACTCTTCTTTTTGAATGTTTCAAACAATGACAAGAAGCTCACTCACATAACTTATGGTAACCAGTACCCTCACTGCAGCCAGTCCTTAACAACCTTATTACAAAACAAAACATTTGCCAAAGATAAGCTGTAATAAATAATTGTTTCAGTGGGATTGAAACTGAGAAGATAAAGTCCCATTAGTATCTTGAAAAAATGGTTTAGCTCTTAATTAACAAACAAATCATTTAGTAATGACTCCATTACTTCGAAAGGTGCATGAAAAATTATAACAAAAACAATCATTCACCAAAATAGAGGTAAACGGTGGTGGAAATACCCACCACAGTTACAGACACTGAGATGAATGTTTGTTTTACTAAATACCACTCAGACACCCAAAAAAATTGCTTCTATCTATCTCACAACATAAAAAAAATGGTCAAAAATTATACTTAGGATGCGCAAGTTGAATAGTGCTTGCTTGCAGAAGGCACTATTCACCTGTGTGGTATATACTAACTATAATAATTGTCTTATTTTTAAAATATATTTTGGAGTAAACATGATATACGATAGCACCTATCTTTGGCAAATAATTTTTTTTGCTTGAAATAAGATTTACCTTTTGAAGCAGCCACAGAGGTTAAAAAGTATCCATTAGAATATAAGGTATTTTTATGTTACATGTACATTAAGTTTATTTTAAAAAATATAAAAAGTTTCCTCTTTAATTACACCTCAACAACTACCATGATTGGTTAAATTAGAGTAATGTCGCAAAAAAAGCCAATTTGCAGAACTTAAATTAGTTGATATACAAGCACACCTTGATATGACATCGAAATATGTTAAGGAAAAACAAATACAGCCTTTTGTAAACAAAAACTGCTGTTACCAGTCTATACAGCCTGCAAGCAAGCATTCAACACACAACAACAGTCATCAGTATCAGTGATAACAAGTTAACCAAACAGTCAACTGATAACAAGTTAGGGTTAATGTTGGGTTGGGGAGAGGTGAGTGTGCACTTGGTCAAATGCTGACATTCATCCAAAAATCTTTTATGTCAGACCCCATGGTGAATTATTTCAATTGCTAAACTAACTTGACTCTCATTGGTTCACCAGTTGTACTGCAGTGCTCATGAGAACCTGCTCATTGGCTAGTCTTGATAACGTGCTTATTGGATTCTTCTAGTAAATTAATTTGATTGAAAAAATTCACATACAACACCCCAATTTTAACACCACAAACACCAGTTGATTATGAGAAAACTGACTCTTCAAATACAATTATTTTGCTTTTTCAACCTTTGATTTGGAAAATCAGGACAATAAGTCAACCCTGATATCTTGATTAAGGAAAATCAAAACTTAAGTGAAACAAACATTTATGAAGGAAGGCTTCTAAATGTTACAAATAGCTTTTCCTTGTGCAGGGGTTTTCACATCTGTCACAGCAGAGGTTTCAATATCTTTTTCCACAGGGGGGCTGCTGATGCTATAATAAGTGGCTATCTGTAAGGCAAAGCCTAAACATGAGTGCCTGTGTGCAAGCTGAACAGATGGTGACATGAAGTCTTACAGGTGGTGGTAAAGCACCTGTCACCATATTTTATTGAAACCTCTGCACAGGTTGGAAAGAAATGTTTGGCCTGTAAAACTAAGGTGGAAGAGGTATGTGATGAAGGTTAGTATTAGAAAGTTGTGAAAATTCTCACAGTCACATCATGAAACTCTGATCTCATCTTCAAGGTTTCATAAAGAGCAATTATGAAAATTTATCCTTTAATTCCAGCTGTGAACATGCTCTGTTTTCCAAATCAAAGGGTGAACCATCAAAAATGTTTAGAAGCATCTTACCAAATTTTCTGCAACAAATGTTTCAGCAACACCTATCCAGATTGATTTGGCAGAATTAAGTCTTTAAAAATAAATACTCCAAAGTATTGGGAATTTTTAATAACTGTAGTTAGCAACTTGCTTTCATACAGTACCACTGTAATTAAATATTCTTAAATGTCTCACCATTTTTCATAAGGAATCTTTCTTGTGCTAATGAAATCTGCAACTATGTTACAATAAAATGCTTCAACAGCTATACAAAATATCTGTACAAATTGGACACACAAATTCTGCTCTATATTTAAAATTCGATTGAATTTTCAAGTTAGCAACTTAATATTAAAATTGGTTAACAACCACTACCTTGAAATTCACTTCAGGAATTTAATTCAAAGGATTTACAAACAACCAGACTCATTCATTGGGCTGTTTTTCAAAACTTCTGGCTTTAGTTCCATTTTTTTTTTTTTTAAGGCAACACCTGCATCAACACTGACCAGCGTTCCCCGGAATGTTGTGAAAAGCAGCTCTTCTTTACAGAACAGTCAGATTTAGTATTCTCTCACATGTTTCTTTCATTACACCTGAACCTTAACCAGTCCCTGCATTCCTGGGTTTTGGTAACTGCTCTTGGGAATTCTGCTTGGCCTGAAATAAAAAGTAAAAACACCACAATAAGATACATATAAAATAGAAGATAAAATGATGAGAGACAAATTTATTTTTTACCCATTCTGGGTGACCACAGTATTACCAAAACGGGCCATAAAAAATGCAGGGTTCTCCCTAGTTTTCAACACAGCAGGTAAGGGACCTTTTCAAACCAGTAAAGCACATTTGCAGCTTCAGGCGGCTGGTCATGCTCAACTGTGTCATTTCCTAAAGCATACAGTACATGGTGCCTATCAAAAGTTCTCCATTGAAAAATTCATAATGTGAATGATACACCTTTAGGTTCAGAGGTTGAACAAAACAAAGTAAAATTTTGCTATGCCCTTTCTAAACTGCTTATAACGTAAACTGGTCTCCCTTCGATTTTGGGTGATATCTTTGGTGTCACTTACATGGCATATCGCTGGAAAATCAGGTGTCAGCTACGAATTGCATCACTATGAAATCGAATCACATTGAATAGCTGTATTTGTGCTCTAATTGTCTCACATTCAGAACTTTTACGCTGTCTAGAGATTTTACTTTCAAGGCTTCTTTCAAACTGTTGTCTGCCACACATTTCAAGTAGAATTTCATGATGAAGACTAGCTTTGTCCCCATGTGTTCGTTATACACCCGGTAATTGTAGAGCTGTCAGGATGGTTATTTGAATTGGCTGTTTTTCCATTGCTAGTATGTAACCTTTATTTTGTTAACCACTAAAATTCTTGTAAAGTTTACCAGCCAGCCAGGTCTTTGTGACCTCTTGTTACTGGACAGAAATGACAGCATTGTTTGCTACCGTTTCATCATGGAAACTGAACAACTAAACAACACCATGTTTGCACATGCAGAGAACTGACAAATGTCACGAGATTTAGCAGAAAGCCTGTGAAAAATCACTCTTGCTTCGAAATTTGAAAGGTACCAGTCAGTGTTAGCTAACTAAAGCACCTGTAGATCTATAATAGTGCACACTGTTGGCTTGTTATTACACTTTCTTACCAGATTAGTTCACCATAAATGTGTATTTTTTAAGGGTTCTGAGCGTTTCCAGGTGGTAATAAGTGCTCTTACAAGCGGTAAATTTTACTGGTTACTGCCTGATAAGGAGAACCCTGAAAATATACTTTCATTATTTCAATTAGTTAACTTGAAGCTATCAGTGTGATGACTCATTACCTTGGAGACTCTGAAGGGCTGTTAGACCCAGTTGATCCTCTTGGATTTCGAGGTTGATCTTTAACAAAGTTTCGACATGAAGCCAGTTTAGATTCAAGGGCCTAAGTTGCAGGAGAGAGCAGAGTAACATGAGTTAAGTATGAAAGAAATGAAAGAAAAAATGTACCAACAAGTAATGCTACATCAAATTGCATCAAAACTGCTATGCACTCCTTCTCAGAGAAAAAAATATGTGTAAATCACTTACCCCTACTTTTCTCAACAGATCGCCGACAATGTTTAGTGCAGATATTCGTGCAGATGGAGTCAGCGGAGAAGTGCCATACCCTGTGTGGAGTGGTGATGTTCCTATGGAAGCAGTTGTAGCATGGAAATCTGATGTCTGGCTTGTAGTTTCTGGTTTCAATGGAGATCCCTCTATTTTCAATGGCTCTTTATTTTCTTTGTTACTCTCTTTATCTTTGCTAAATTCTAATCCATCACCAGGTTTTTTTCTCTCTTTTTCTTTCACCGCAAGTTCTTGTCGAAGATCTGTGCAAAAAATCAACATTTCACAACCAGAATTACTTCACAGAACACCAGACATTTTTTGTTACTCTCATGACATTTTGTGCTGCTTGCAAAACAATGAAACCTTTCTTTTTTTATTTGAGATAAGTTTTCAAAATAACATTTTGCAATTTAAAGAAACTGAAACTCTAAAGGCTTTTTCTCCAGTAGTAAGCTCATTGCCAAAAAGCTTCATAAGTAAGATCAGGGGTTCTCTTGAACATGTCTACAAGGTCAAGAATCATGCCCAAGGCATTTAATCTAGACATTGTGGAATGCTATTTTTCATTTGGAATGGAATGCTTCCTTCTATGAGAAATTTTGTGCGACCATATCTTAATAGCCCTCATAGAATATTACAGAGTTTGCTGAGGTACCATGTCAATTTCCATGAAACTACACAGAAACTAGCATTTTAAACACTTTTTATGCAAGTGTTGTGTAACCAAATTCATTAAGGCATGCACTTCAATTCCTGAGCACTATTTATCACCTTCACCTTTCATCAACACATGGCTTTACGACCAGTAATATTCTTGCTCAAAACCTCCAACTGGGAAAAAACCTTCTGGTATTTGAGCATCAAGTTTAATATAGATGGCGCGCTTTTACCCAACAGTATACTTGCCAAAATAAACAACACAATATCTAAGAGCAGCCAATATCAATTTTTGCGGTTCTTTATCTCTGCATGTTAATGAATCTTAAAATAGTCAATTATAATATAGTATAAGGTAAATTAGTTCCTAAGCAGCAAGAATGGCTAACAGTTTATGCAAGAGGAACAGATAAATGAAACAATTAACAAACACTTCTAGAAATTTGGCGTCAAATGCATGAAAAAATTTGTTCTCCTTGAAGTGAACAACATGGTGCCTAAATGTCCATCTGAACTTGGTAAAACAGTTTGACTACAATACTGCAACACAATGATTATCATTATATTGAATATCTTTTCTAACCTCTTGCTTCATCTTTCAGTCTTTGTACTGATTCTTGGAGGGTCTCCTTTTCATCTAACTCATTTTCAAGAATAGCATTTCTTTCTATGGCCTGCAAGACAAGGATACAAAAATCTACTGTTTCTATCACTTGTTAGGATAAATCAGTGGCAGCTTTTTATAGCCTTTTCCACAATAAAAAGCAAATGAATTTTCCATTGCTCCACAGTTTGCCCAAGTTTAATATATAAAATGAGCATTTCGTGATACAAAACTCTCCCCTTAAGTTGAATATGTGCATCACCACTGATGATAAAGCTGTTATAAGATTACTACAATATATTCCACCCTGGTGCTAATTACCTGGTTCAGCTTCTGCTCAAAGTCTTCCAGTGAGCACACTGTTGCCCTGAAATGATTTAAAATAATAAATAAACAAATAAACGATAAATAACATACTAAAGAATAGATAATGTTTGCAGTAAGTAACAAAAATGCTAGCTATTCAGCTGTGCAAATCCACAAGATAATCTTATTTAATGAAGTTTCTACTACAGGAAACTTTGGTGATAAGAGAATTCTCTGGCTCTTCCGCAGAATTTTCCAGCTTAATATTTATGGCATTAGCTAATCTTATTTAGCTAAGAAAATATTTTTGTGTCTTTTTTTGGTTTCATGATAAACCCTGTCAAGAAAATTACTAAGAATCTAGTCAAAGATAAGCACAATTACGAAAAGTTATTTGGCAATTTTTCAGTACAGAGACCTAGGAAAGTATCACTCGATAGATAGAGAAGAGAAATTTAGCAAAGTAAAATGTGTAACTTGAAAAAGAAAACAGTAATCAAATGCAGAATTTCATACAAGCACACATCATAGATAGAAATTTAACATTCTGAGAAATGTCCACGAATTTTGTTCACTAGCTAATGTGACAGCAGGTGCTTTTTAAAAAGGGCTAGCAATGTCTATCTATAATAATTTTGTTTGTATACCACATACATATATATACAAAAATGCAAGTAGTTATATGAACTGAAATAGCCTGAAATCTGGTTTGAAATTCATTCCTTTACTTCCAACAAAAGGAAAACTAAGAAATATATTCTTAAGAAAACTAAGCGACAACTTGTGACCAAATCAAGATAAATTTCAGAAAAATTGTTAAAACTAACCACACTTGTTTGAAACATAAGTTTATTAACTAGAACATAAATATTGTGTTTCAAGTCACCACAGCTATCAACCATAACAAAAACTTTGAATGGTCCTTAAAACAAACAAAGTTTAAAAACCCTACAGGAACTTGTAACAACCATGTTTCAAAATGATTGAGAACCACACCAAAGAACATTTTAAAACATTGCAAAAGTCCTGCTAATTCAGAGCAATGTTCTTTATAGATGATCAAGGAGGGATTAAGTTAATTAAAAATGCAAAATTTACTCATCAGCATGGCGCCAATTTCTTCTAACCCTACAGGTGTTCAGTGTTCTATCTAAGGGCAACAAGCTTCATTCTACTAAACAACATAAATATTTATCTCTGATGACCAAAAGATGGACAGATTCAGAGTTACAGGTGTATGAGAATTTCATAATTGCAACTTCCTCTTTTCCTGCTGACATTGTTTTCATTTTATCATTTCACACCATTAATTAGGGAATAAAGCCCGCATCATGCCCTGGATGCTTTTCTCCTAGATACACTGGGAATCATTCTTTTGACAAAACAAAAGAGAATTAATAGAACGTAAATATTGTTACACCCCGCTAGGTTTGACATTTTGTAAAAGTTTACCCAATTAAGGCTATATTTCCACTCATATATACTAGGTCCAACATTAACAAAGCCAAAACTTGGAACAAGAAAGAAAAAAGGAAGAGATTGAAAAGGCTAAAAGGGTAATAAAAACCTAATAAACAGGACAAAATTCCTTTGTAATTCAATGACATATAATTAACATAATATTTTAATCCTCCAACTAATGCAAAGCAGCATTTAACAAGCGACCTTTCTGTTATTGAGCAACCATCTTCTTGTTTGAAACTGGCAAAAAGCTCCCTTCAAAGCGGTAATTCGAAAAATTGCCCGTCATATTTTTAAAAGTAATCGATAAAATAAAATCGCAAGTGCCCTAACCTTAATGCATGGCCACAGAAACTGATACGGGGATTATTTCCCCCGACCCTTGTCCTGTGCTTCAATTTGTCGCATGCCACAAGTCGTACTTTAGCAAACACATTTTAAGCGATAATATTTGAATAAGTTAAGTTTCGACATGTAAAGACACCTTCTCTTGATTTCATCTGTGGGCGACTACATACAAGCTTACTAAAAGCAACACAGTACAAAAATATTGTAACCGGGTAAAATTTGAGCAACATGGACAACATCAAATGCCATTCAAGGAGGCAAAAAAATATCAGGTCATCATGAAATATGGGAAAATGATCACAATTATGATTTGAATGTTGTCGTTAGCTATGCCTTACAGCTCCAAAACACAGCCAAACATTAGCTTCACATTTCTTTTCTACAGACCTTTTCGCTCTTTCCAGATCGTCATTCGCCTGTTCGAGTTCCCGAACGTATTTTTGAACTTCTTCTCGAACGGCTTTAAGCTGGGCTACTTCATCTTGTAGCGCTGATATCGTAAGATAGGATTCATTCTGGCTTGCATCTAGTCTCGCCTAAAATACGATCAAACCAAAAGTGAACGTCAAAACCAGAACAGTCGAACTATCGACAACTCGGAAGACAAGATGGCCAATGTACGCGAAGCAACTCTTGCATTATTTACAATGTTCCATTTATCAACAGACAAACTGGCGATACGCGACTTACGCCATTAAATAAAATATTCTTTCCTTTACCTTTAAGCTTTCGTTCTCCGTTTCTAGTCGTGTTTTTGCTGACAAAAGTTCTCGCTGTCTGGCTTCTGCTTGCTCTAACTGCGTTTCCAATTCTGCTTCTAATTCACGACTACCTTCTTGAAACTCGTCGAGTTCATCTCTCGCTTCTTGCAACCTTTCAACCAAAAGAAACGTTGAATTTGAATCTTCTATCATTTTCCTACTACATCAAATGAATGTCATCGAAAGACAAGGTCTTCAAAACACTCACTTTCGCTCTAAATCCTCGGCTACTTGCTTCCAGTAAGTCGCCTCTTCCTTCGGATCGGCGAATTCCAATTCCTTATCGGCCGTAGAAATACTCATTCCCAGCTGTCGCATATGGACGGTAAGATGTTTTCGCCTCGTTATAAATTAAGAATCTAACTCTCTATCAATCTATGGCAAAACGAAGGAGAAACCGGGCTCAATCAAGCCAAGATTAGCTTCACGTCTCGAAAGCTCAACGAAATCATTAACAAGCAAACCGTTCCCCTGATGACGTCAACTCGAGTGATCTGCTAAAAGGATTGTGGGATAGATGAGACGAAATGTGATAAAATGCCACGCGTGGTTTCACGGTTTCTCATTATGGAATCATAGAACGTGTTTTATGGGTTACTGACTTTGCCAATCAAACACGACAAGTAACTGCTCCTGCTTGATCGAATACCAACCATTCCGTGGAGCATGGTGTGAAACAAATGCTCGGCCGGTCAAAGTAAAAACACGTGGTTAAATATTCTCGGTCGGTCAATTGGTCTACATGATTCATTTCGTATCGGGAATATCAAATAAAATTTAAAAATGTGTAGGCTCTCAAATGATTATTTTAGTTAATTAACGATGTTTACTAAAATCATGGCAACCAAATTGCCCCGAAGCTATTTTGATGAACGGAGTCTTCGAAACCAGAGGACATTTTTAATTACGTAACTACAAAATTTTCAAAGTTGAGTGCACTTGAAAAAGAACGCCCTCTGAAACTAACTTAATTTACAAGCTATTTGTATTGCTATGGAAGTAATGAGCGTGGTATCAAAGCGCTGTGACTAGAACTGAAGCTTTAATTTATGGAACATTGAGAAACTCATCCACTCCATAATAGGAAAGGTGTACGAGAATTATCTGAAGGGTCACCGGCTTGTCCATCTTGAAAGAACTGACCCAGAACCGAGCATCTCAACCGCGACCGGACATAATTATCCTTCCTTCACGCCCTGTAATTTAGAAAACCACCTCAAGACCTGAAATATGCAACAGCATGAGTAACTTATGGATGATCAGGCGTTATTTTTTTTCCCGACCGCGAAAGTGCATCGGCGCAAAAGCCGGTTGCTTTATCGTGCTCCAAAGAAAAGAAGACCTGATCGCAAGTTACAACATACATTACTTGAGTGTCGTGAAATCTGTTTTCCCGCGAGCAAGTTGGCACGGGTTTTTATCAAAGCATGGTGTTTGCGTGACTGAGATGTGGATCAGTGAATAAATATTGTCAAGATTTTTTTTCTTTATATGTATTTGTTTCGTGCAATTGCGTTTGTCGTGGTTACCACAAGATCGATACTGACCGGAACACTTAAGTCAAACTTTCAAGTCAAATATCAAGAATACAAGAGGAAGTGTTCGTGGGCCAGTATGCGGAACTGTAATTTGTTGCTAATTGCTCTGTTGATTTAGGAATTGTTTTCTAAATTTGTCAAAAGAGTCAGGTAAATCTGATTTTCGGAAGAGTTAGATCGTTCGACTTCCTTGTCGGTTGAAGTAATCCTTCCAGGAAATCGTTGCTCTACATCAAATGGCTTTCGGCGCATAACTTGAGTGTCTCTGGCTTTTTATTTAACTCTTTTTCAGTACCACTTCATAAGTTTAGCATTACGACTCGTTGCTGCCGAGGATTCTCAACTACAATATGCCGAGGCTAGTTCTTAGTCAAAACGATAGGAGCCTAATTCAGTTCTAAAGTTTTGCTATAATACCAAATGAAAGCATGATTCATGTCGGGAAATTCGTCTTGGAAGAAACTGATATCATAAATACTGGGTAATTTTAGCGTGCTTGATCGTAAGAGTTTCCGAAATTAGGACCGGGGTTGTACCCAGATTAGATGCATATGCTTGAAAAATACCACATAAAATATCCCAATATCCAAATAAGACCGTTGGTCTTTTTATTTGCTTTTTGTTTGTTCGGTGTTTCACTTGTGAAAGTTTCGAAAACATGATTCCTTGAAATATCTCGAAACATCCGCAAAAGCTGGGTTTCGTTACGCGTTTTATTTATTAGGCAACTTAATCGTATGATCAATCGAATGGAAGACATATTTCAAGTATTATTCAGATTGCCTAGTTATAACCAGTGAAAGGAATCCGAAAACCGTGAGTATACTCTTCCGAACGGAAGACTATTTTTGGTTTTTTACGTGAGATAACTTCTTGAAATCCCACTGAAAACACGAAACAAAATATTCCGGAAGTTAATCTGCATGTTGTGTCTTCAGACGACAGCCCTCAAATCGGCTTGGACCCACGAATTGCAAAATTATAGTCATGCAAAATCAGTGAATTTAGGTTTGAAATTGCATTCAACATGTTTAAAAATAGATAACCAACTTGGTCTGAGCCAACTCTATAGACCTACGAAAAATTAACTTCTTCCAATAATGCTTCCACATCAATCTGCTCTTCTGTTACTCTCTAACCGGTGTCAAGTAAGAGCGAAAAATATTTTACCGGTAAGATCCTATGGGTGAAAAATATTCTCTGCCTTTTTGCGCGTTAAATTCAGCTGCAGTTAGCTGTGTCCAACAATCGTATGTCAATAATGTTCAAGAAGACTGTCTGTTTCAGCACAACGGGAAGAAAATCTCAAACTTATGAAGAAGTGTATATGCTAACCTTGAACCGGTCATATAAGCACGTATCAGAGTTGGATTCTGGCAAATAACCAATTTCGAATTGAATGCGGAAGTTTTCTAATCAAAAGGATAATTTCAGGAAAGCAATACTCCTTCGTTGGCCAAGAGACGTTTGATTGAAGTAAATACTTAGTAAATTTTTTCGGAGAGGGTGGCGCTTACTTGAAGAGAGAGCGATTTTTATTTCAGCTGCACGTAATATAGTACCGCCCACCAGTTGGTGAAGTATAGTAAAATTAGACCGTATCTTTTATTGATGTTTGGCCTTCGTTAGGAAAACGAAAGTACTGGTGCGGAGTAGGGTCAGCTCTACTGAGGGACTGGGCATTATTTATCGCCTTGCCGGAGAAGTGGGGGGGGAGGGGGCAAATAGGTCGAGGTTTTAGGGGTGATTACATGGTTTTCAGGGGTAACGGAAGGGGGATCAATACTCGCCTAAAGAGAATGAAGGGGGCCCTTCAGGAAACTGAGTGGAGGGATCATAAGAATGTTACAGAGCCTCATAGGGGGGGTTAGGGTAAATTTTATTGTTACACATCCAAAGTCCTCGAACCCCCACCCCCACCCCCACCCCCGTAGGTGATAAATGATAAGTGGTGCCTATGAGTCAGAGCTGTCAAGTAAAGACTTTATTCTTGAAGTTTCTGGTCTTCAACCCTAAGAATAAATCAATCGGCTCCTATGATCACCACCGGAGCCACAAAAAAAGAAGCCGTTGAAGGAGTTCCGAATAAATCATTCTCGGACTATTTCCTTCACTGAGAAAAAAGAAGAATCAAATCAATAAGATCTCCGAGCTGAGTATTTTTAGGCAAATTTGCTTCAAGCTAATTGTCAATAGCTGCCAATTGTCCACAAAAAATATTGCTCGAAATGTGCTTAAATCTGTGGGAAATGAGAAATAGTGTACAATATACTCGAAATTGATACTGCACTAACATGAACGTGCAAATCTATGCTGACTGAAATCGCTTTTTATTTGAATCGCTGCCCCAAAAAATGAAAAAAGTTGCCAACATTCGGTTCACCTTCCTGCCCGGAAAAGACAGATGAAGAAAACGGGGGGGGGAGGGGGGGCAGGGGGAGAATTCGATGTGTCTTCACATAAGATAAGATAAGATAAGATAACTTTATTTATACACGGTATTTCCATCAGTTGTTAATTATCTATAAAGGTATATCTATCTTCCTAACTATAATAAAATCTAATAATAACAATTCAAATAAAAGAAACAAATAAAAAATCTGCTTTTCATGGAGGCCGTGTCTAAAATTTACTTAAAATTAAGATATTACTTTAAACTGTGGCGACTTAATTTAGATTTGAAATCGGTCAGTGAAGACGCTTGTCTTAGATCTAAGGGTAAGTCGTTCCACAAGTGAGCTCCGCTGTACAAAAAACTTCTCTTAAGATAATCAGTTTGAGGTTGTGGAAGAACTAATTTGTTTTCCGTATTCCTTAAACGATAAGCACTTATATTGTCACGATATACAAATCTTGATCTCAGATAATCTGGTGTCATACCATGTAAAGTTTTATACATTAAGATAGATTTTTGTTCCAATCTTTGATAGTAGAGTCTTCGCCACCCTAGTGCCCGGAACAAATCATCTAAATTACTATCATAGCTCGCAGATATTAGGATGCGAGCTGCCCGATTTTGAAGCCTTTGCAGTTTTTCAGAAAGGCCTTTTTTACAGTTTCCCCACATCACATTGCAATAGTCAAAATGTGGTTGAACAAGGTTACGACAAACTTTCATTAAAATTTTAAATGGAGTGAGATGCCGAATTCGTTTAATTGCACCAATGGCACAAGCTATCTTCTTAGAGATGTTTTCAATATGACACTCCCAGTTGATATTTTGATCGACATAAACTCCAAGGGACTTAGCGGAGGTTACTTGTTCTATTGCGATTCCGTTTATAGTAAGAGAAGGACTTTCCGTAAATTGTGATAACTTCTGCCTTGATGCAATAAGCATAAACTCAGTTTTTGTCATATTTAGGGTAAGCTTGTTAGCACTCAGCCATTCGTACACATTACTCAGGTCGTAATTAAGGCAATAATTTATATGATCAAAGTCAGTACTGGCAAGCGTCAGGCTGGTATCATCTGCGTACATTCTGGGTTCCGAATATGTCAGACAATGTGGTAAGTCATTAATATATATTAAAAACAGAAGAAAATTGTTCCCAGGGGAACACCACATCTTAGATATTTCGGAGTTGACTTACAAGAATTTACATGGCAAATCTGTGTTCGATTATCTAAATAAGAAGCAAACCATTGATAACTGGTCCAACAAATCCCATAGTATTGCAATTTTCGTAGCAAAATATCGTGATCTACTGTATCAAATGCTTTTTTGAGGTCTAAAAACACTACGGCATTAACAAGACCATATATACATATAGACATATAGACATATAGACATGAGTAGGTAATAGCTCTGTTTGTGGGTTATTATGATTGGCTACTGAAAGTCACATAGAATACCTTAGCTTGCTTCCGAACCAGCTTGGGAATTTGTACTCTCGTAACGGCTGTTATGCTCATTAACTCCTCCTCTTATAAAAGAATGTGTGTTTTGGC